GTGTTTTTATAATACGCTTTTTTTTGCTCGCTTTCATTTTGCTTGCTTTTTTAACACCCATTCCCAATTTTCGCTTTCCTTTCATTACACCTGTTATGCCTAAAGCGGCTGTTTTTTCTCCAAACGAAGAGTCCTTTGCTTTAACCCTCTGCCAAGCTTTATCTTCTAAGATCTTGTCTGCTTCGTGTCTCTTTGTTAAATTGTTAGACTGAGAGTATGCTATATCGTGCTCTTTACAAGCAGCGTCTAAGGGATTTATACCTGGATCACCTCTATTTATTCTCTTTTGTAAATGAGTACCCGGTCCGCAGAATTGGTAACCAGGAATATGCAGTTCGATAGGAAGTTTGTTTATAAGTTTATTTACCAATCCTGAACCTTTCGCCCTGTTTCGATGTACAATCATGAGAGTGTTTGGAAATACTGTTTAAATATTTAGGAATTATGCTATAAATACTTTTGCAGGTTCTTGTTAATGCCTCAGTCGAAATGAAAGTTGCTAAGCAAGCTTTTTCTTTACCCGTAAAAAACCACGACGCAAGCTTGGTCCGCGAATTTCAAAAGCACGGCGATCTCTTTGGAGGTAGTTGCAAGAGGGCACTAATTGTAGGACCCTCAAATTCGGGTAAAACCAACGTCATGTTATCATTGCTCGAACATCCTAATGGAATTAGATTTGAAAACGTTTACTTATATTCCAAATCCCTGCAACAGCCAAAATACGTGTATTTGAGAGAACTGCTAAAGCCTTTACAAGAGATTGGCTTTTTTGAGTTTGAGATCGATGAGAATATCGTTTCTCCTCAGGAAATTAAACCCAATTCTGTTATAATATTTGATGATATTCCTTGTCACGACCAAAGTGTCATTAGAGATTATTTCACTCACGGTAGGCATAAAAACACCGATTGTTTCTTTATTTTTCAAGGATATTCTTCTATACTCAAGCGACTTATCAGGGAAAACGCCAACCTTCTGATTTTATTCAAGCAAGACATGATGAGTTTAAAGCATATATATAACGATCACTGTATGTTGGACATGTCATTTGAACAGTTTAGAAATATCTGTGTGTACTGCTGGAACGAACCTTATAATTTTCTTGTGATTGACAAAGATTGTGAGTTAGATAAGGGCAGATATAGGAAAAACTTCGATTCCTTCATTTATATATAATATCCCAAAATGGATAAACGCCTAGCGACGGAGCTAATAAAATCAAGAAACGCAGTTAGAGAAAAATATCAAAGGCTAAAACAAGCCGCAAGTGAATCCCAGACGCAACTCGAACAAACCTATAAACCGATAACTCAGCCTCTGCAGCAATTAATTTCATCAATAAATAAAACGGATATCAAACAAGAACCGTTTGAAGAAAAAGAAAATATTAAACATGAAGTGTTAACCTCGACGCCTACCAAAATAAAGGAGAAAAGAACCGGAAAAACCCCAATCTTACCTTCAGAATTGCCCTCATTTTTTGATACCTCCTTTCCGTCGATCCAACAACAAAGCAATGTTGTAGCTGAAAGTACGGGTCTTTCGGACAGCGATACTACGTTGGGAAATCTGTCAGATATTTTAGAACAAACTAAGCAAGCTATACAGGATTACGTCGACACTCCCGCTTACGAGCAATGGTTGAATGACTTTAATAAATTACCACGAACATACATTGATGACAGCGTAAAAGATACCCAACATATATTTGACCATAATTATGGTATCGTTCATGACATAGAAAACGATAAATTTTTTCTGGGCTTAACCCAAAAATTGTCGGTAAAGATGTGAAGGTACAAGGTATTACATACCCTGGGACTGTGGGTTTGTATGAGTTACTTTTCAAGAAGGTGCCGGTCGGTTTCAAATCGCAAGATCTAGATAATTATATGGATATACTGAAAAGAACAAACGCGTATCGGAGAAACCATGACCCTAATGGACAAGTGCAAGGAAATGCATCATATAAATATATAAATATAATTGGACCTTATTTACAGGAGCGAGGAATAACAAAAACAAAAAACCCGGTGAGACGACTAGCTGACGCATTTTCTAAAGTGCCTCCGCCTTATAGGACAATCAAAACTGGGACGGGGTTAACTTTAAAATCAAATAAAGAAAATACAGATTATATTTATTGGGATAATGTTAACGAGCTTGTCGATAGATTAAGACTGTTATTGGCATCTACTGCTGCGGGGCACACGGGACATGAGAACGAAATAGCTTCAATTATTGAAGAACTAAGAGAGGGAAAAGTTATCTTATAAAATAAGCACGACTGAGAGTTAGAAAATTATTTGAGTAACAACCGCTGTCATGACTATTAATAAATTTGGTACACACATTAATCACCACCTTAACGAGAAATACGATAATTCAATGAAGGAGTTGGAAAAACATTTATCCAAAATAGAAGAGCTTGAGAAGACATTTAAGAGCTATCAGGCAGATATCAATTCCCAACTTAATAAACTTTTGCCACAACAAAACCGATATACACAATGGGTGAAAAAATACAATACGAGTTTGGACCAAATAAATCAGTTAGCGACAACAACTAATGAATGATTTAAAATGGTGTTTAATTCAAATTGACGGGCAATCGACAAAGTAATGAGCAGTGAGAAAGCACAACTCGTCCGAGAGCTGCACAAGCCGGCACGCAGAAATTACGCGCGTCGCAGAACTATAATACGAGGGCTGGATGATTTGTGGCAAGCGGATTTGGCTCAGCTAGACCGATATGCGAAACAAAATAAAAACTTTAAATTCATACTAGTCGTGATCGATTGCTTTTCAAAATACGTGTGGTGTCGACCGTTAAAAACAAAAACCGGTGTTGAAGTTACCAAAGTGTTTACCCAAATTCTCAAAGAAGGACGCCGGCCGCAAAATCTGCAAACTGATCTCGGCAAAGAGTTTTATAATATCCATTTTAAAAAAATGACGGGTAGGTTTGACATAAATCACTACAGTACATATAGCAACGTGAAAGCTGCCGTAGCCGAGAGAGTTATACGTACTCTCAAGGAAAAATTATTTAGATATTTTTCGTTAAACGGCACCTACAAATGGATAGATGTTTTATCCTCTGTTGTCGAAAAATATAACAGTAGCGTGCACAGGACCACCGGAATGAAACCTAAAGAAGTGAACAAAGATAACGCGCCTAGTTTGCTGAAATCAGCGTACAGTCACTTGAAAATTGTAGGACCATCTAAACTTAAACTGGACGACGTTGTAAGAATCAGCAAGACCAAGCACGTGTTTAGCAAAGGTTATACTCCCAACTGGACCACGGAATTGTTTAAAATCGTAAAAGTGCAGATTACAAATCCGGTAACTTATCTGTTGGAAGATATGAAGGGTAAGCCTGTAATGGGCGCTTTTTACCAGGAAGAATTGCAGAAAACCGTTAACCCTGACGTCTATCTCGTCGAAAAGGTGTTGCGCAAACGAGGAAATAAGGTTCTCGTGCGCTGGTTGGGCTTGGACAAGTCACATGATTCATGGATCGACACCGCGAATATCCTATAAATTTCTTCTATTATTTTTGATTTTGTGAGCGTCCGAGACAGACATGGAACAAATTGTGTTGCCGGATAATTTTTTAAATTTATTGCAAGAGAATGGTTTGATGGGTCCACCGCCTTCGCAGCCACCAACAGATATTCCAAAACGTAAGCGTACTGCTGCAAATTCACGAGTTAAGAAAATAAAAATTGAATCTCTACCGCAAGCACAAGGAGAATGGTTCGAGGCGTTCAAAGATGACAACGAAAAAAGGATAGTTTGTGAGGCGTTCAATTTGAAAAACAATTTGGAAAATCAGCTGATGCAATGTGAAGAAGGTATCCAGCAGCTCGAAACTCAGATAGCAGTTGTTCAGGCCGATCTCCAAATACTGCGCTTACGTGCGGAAGAATACAAAGCAAAAATCGGATATTTCCAAAATTTGGCTCCAGGACATATTGTATAAAAATGAAAAAATATTCAGTAACTGTATTTTGATATAAAAATAAAATCGCGTTAAAATATTTTCATTTTATTTCAAATGTTAGCCAGGACGCTTTTGGTCAGATTTAAATTAGGTCTAAAATATCTATGGAACAGCTCTCGAACAGGTCTAGGACAGCCTTAAACAGACCCAAAACCTCTACGGAACAGGTTTCTACAGGTCCGACACAGATATGGACCATTTTGCTTCTTTAAACAGGAATGTTTATTTCGCATTGCGATCGAACAATTATTTTTGGTGACGCAAAGTATAACATACTGACAAAATGAAATTACGGAGTGAGATTTTTTTTTTTTTGCGTTTTTGTTCGCGTCGAAGGAAATGCGACGATAAACTCGATGTCGAAGGAAACGCATGCGGTAAGAATATCAAACGTTTCGATTAAACCATTTCTTGTGTCGCAGGAAAACACGTATGCCGTTCCTAAGCGGTCTAATATGAAAGTCTCGTTTAAAACATTTTTTTTTTGCGGCGAAGGCAGGCGACGCGATGATCTCACCCGCCAAAGTTTAGTTTAAACATTTCGCAAAGCGATGATGTCATGCATCCGCTGCCGCACACCGGCGACGCGGCGGGCAATGATATCAGCCAGTTGTCAAACGCGACGGCGGCGGTACGCCTGAGTCATCGCACACAATCGCGCTGCAATTTACATTCACGCCGCGACCAACGGTCGAGTTTCGAAGCGAAGCGGCCCCATACGACGACGGTTTGGTTAGGTTAGGTCGCTAACTACGACCAATTTTATCAGCGGGTCGCGTTATATTGCGCAATTCTCGCCAACACAAATCTTAATTATTCTGAAGGAACGTTCTCGAATGTAATTTTAAATTCATTACCCCCAGAAAAATTGGCTTAATTAACAAGTGACCGCCGCCATAGTGAGACTTCATTCTTTGGATTTTTGTTTGTGTTTCACCACTTCAAAAAGGTAAGTGTCAAGTAGAGATCTGGAACAGTTGCAGAGTGAGACGCCTATTCCTCGCAGCAAATAAAAATGTTCACCTGCGAATATTGCAACCGCTCGTTCAGCCGTAAAGACCACCTGGCGAGGCACGGGGACTGTCGCGCAGCAGTACAAATTTGTGACGTTTGCGGCGGGATATACAAATCCGAGGGGGCTCTCCGACGCCATAAACGCGAGAAGCATGAGGTTCCCAAGGCGAAAAGACCCGCCGCCGCCCCTATTGCTGCAGACGAACCCAAGCGCCCGAGACTTGACCTACCGGAAGGTAAGGATTTTTGATTTTATATCCCAAACAATTCTCATATTGTATTTTATAGCTTCGACATCATCATCATCACCATCATCCACGCGCCATTGTACGCAGTGTAACTTGACCATTCCTGCAAAGAGATGGCAAGGACACTTGCGTACTTTGGCTCACCGCCAAAAATGCAGCGTGGTGCAGGAGCCAGGAGTAGAAATGATACAGACCTCCTTCCGTAACCGCATAGTTACATACCGTCTGGCGTCCACCGTTAACCCTACCGACGTTAAGGGCTTCTTGGACCACCTTAGGTCCAAAATCCTTACGTTGGTAGAGTCGAACGTCCGACGCTACGGCAACGTGAAAGTCGGTATGGAGCTATTCGGAAACTTCCTCTTGCAGACGAAGGAAAAAGAGGAGGTCAAGTCCTTCAATACCAAATATCGGCTGGTGAGCGGAAACACCGATCTGGAGGAGCTATACGTCCAGTTCGTCGACATCTTGGCTACCAAAGCGTCCGAGTTTCAGGAAAGGGACAGCGGTATGATTCATAAAAATGTATATTTCCGAACTAATTTCTTTCTCTTTTTTACAGGCTGGGCGTTGGAGGAACTTCTCCATTTAGAAATAGGGATTAACAAGTACAATCCCCTAAGGGCGTCGTCCTATGTTAGCCTGCCCAAGGAAATCGAAGCCAAAAAAGCTGTTTTGAACTTGCAAAATACGGACGAAAAATGCTTTATGTGGTCGATCTTGGCTGCTCTTCACCCAATTCACTGGACAAATAACGCTAACAGGGTCAGTAACTATGTAGAATTTCAGAACGAGCTGGATTTTACAGGTATCGATTTTCCCGTTAAACTTAAGGACATATCCACTTTTGAACGACTTAATGAAATTTCGGTCAATGTCTATGGCCTCGAGAGAGTCTATAACAAAGTCCGTAATGATGTTGAGGTCGTTGGTCCTTTGCATTTTACTGAATCTCGTAAAGAGAGACATGTAAACCTATTATTAATTAGTAATGACTATGGAGAAAATCATTATTGTTTAATAAGAAGTATGTCTCGGTTGGTTTCAAAACAATTAACTAAAAGGTCCTCTACAAAGTTTTTATGCGATGGGTGTTTGGTTTATTTTTATAACGAAGAAAAACTAAAGCGTCATAAAGAACACGACTGCACTCACATTTCCATAAAACTTCTGACCACCGAATTGCGCAAGGATAAATACGGTAAAGATGTTCCCGCGAATAAGCTGAAATTTGAAGAATTTGAAAATAAATTAAAAGTTCCTTTTGTTGTGTACGCGGACTTTGAAACAGTCATGATTCCTTTACAGGTGGAAGGCGAACCGAATCCCGACAAATCGTTTACCGTCAAAACTCATATTCACGAGCCTTACTCTTTCGCCTACTATGTCAAATGTGACTTTGACGATTCCCAGTCTACTTTTAAACAGTACAGAGGTCGGGGCGCACACAAAATTTTCATTGAATGGTTGGAGAGCGACTGCAAAGCGCTCTACAACAAGTTCATGAAAACTTCCGTGCCCATGACCACTCTATCGTTTGAACAAGAGACCGGCTTTCGAAACGCTGCGGCTTGTCACATTTGCGAGAAACCATTTAATGCAGAGGACGAAAAAGTAAGGGATCATTGTCATATGACGGGCGAATTTCGAGGTGCGGCTCACTTCACTTGCAACTTGAATTTCAAAGTTCCGCGGCACATCCCTGTCTTTTTTCACCATTTAGGTTTCGACAGTCATTTATTTGTAAAATTTATGGCTGAAGAAGGGGAAAAGATCGATGTCATCGCCCAAAACAAGGAACGTTACATTTCCTTTACGAAACACGTCCTAGTCGATAACATTGAGTCGGAGAAAGGAGGCAAAGGGAAAAGGGTATTTTTAAAACTCCGATTTTTAGATTCATTTCGATTTATGGCATCCAGTTTGGACAGATTGAGTCGAAATTTGAACGATAGTCAGTGTCGGGAAGTCAAAAAATTTTTTAAAAATGAACAAGAATTTCAACTTATTCGACAGAAGGGCGTTTTTCCATATACGTATCTAGATTCTTTTTCAAAATTAGACAAAACCAAACTGCCATCGCACGAGGACTTTTATGACTCCATGCGAAAGAGCAACATAACCAGGGAGGATTACAAGCGTGCCTGGACTGTGTGGAATTTGTTCAAATGTAAAACTTTAGGCGAATATTCAGATATTTATTTAAAATCCGACGTTTTACTTTTAGCCGATATTTTTGAAAACTTCAGAGAGGTGTGTCTGAAAACGTACGGTCTGGACCCGAGTCAGTTTTATACGACACCGGGTCTATCATGGACGAGCGCCCTGAAGGCGACAAAGGTCGAACTGGACCTGTTGACCGACGTGGACATGATACACTTCTTGAAGCACGGTATCCGCGGAGGAGTCAGTCAGTGTAGTGTGAGAAAGGCCGCGGCTAATAATAATTTTTACCTAATTACGACCCTTCCAAACCTATTTCTTACGTCATGTACTTGGACGCTACCAATTTATACGGGGCGGCCATGTCACAATACCTCCCAACGGGAAACTTCGAGTGGTTGGAGGAGGGCAAAATTCAAAATTTAGATATTACGCGTATCCCCAACGATTCACCTAGGGGCTATATTTTCGAAGTAGATTTGGACTATCCGGAAGTGCTGCATGACGCACACAACGAACTGCCTTTTTGCCCGGAATCCATCGTTTCGCCAATCGCGAAAACCAAAATGAGAAAACTTATTCCAAATTTAAACAATAAACGTAATTATGTATTGCATTATAGGAATCTGCAACAGGCTTTAAGCAACGGTTTAAAGCTTGTTCGCATCCATCGCGTTCTTGTTTTCGATCAATCTCCCTGGCTAAAACAATACATAGACTTGAATACGGCGATGCGTAATACAGCTAAAAATAAGTTTGAAAAAGATTTTTTCAAACTTATGAATAACGCTGTGTTTGGAAAAACGATGGAAAATGTGGACAAAAGGGTGGACGTGCGGCTCGTTTCCCATTGGGAAAATATTGGGAAAAGGTTGGGGGCAGAAGCGTTAATCGCGAGACCTAATTTTAAAAATGTCGCCATATTTAGCGAAAATCTAGTAGCTCTCCAGATGGAAAGGACTAAAGTCGTATATGATAAGCCTATTTACGCCGGATTTTGCATTTTGGACATATCCAAGACTCTCATATACGACTTTTTTTACGGCTATCTAAAGGCTAAGTACGGCGACAAAGCCGTCTTACTCTACACCGATACCGACAGCCTCGTTGTCCAAATTTTTTGCGAAAATTTCTACGAAGATATGAAAGAAAATTTGGACAAATTCGATACTTCTAATTACTCGGAGAACAACCAACACGGCATTCCTGTAAACAAGTCCGTTCTTGGTAAAATGAAGGACGAGTACGCAGGACGGCCGTTGTGGGAATTCTTGGGTACGGGAGCGAAAGCTTATTGCGTAAATGTGGACGGCAACGAGTTGACCAAAAAGGCCAAGGGCGTTGCTGACTCGGTCAGCCAGCGCGAACTTAGTCTCGACGACTATAAGCGCGCTGTCCACGAGGAAGGCACGCTAATCTTGCGCCAAATGTCTTCGTTTCGCTCACATTTACATGATATGTACGTCGAACTGAAAAATAAGGTGGCGTTGTCTTACGCGGATGAAAAACGACATCTTATACCCGGCTCAGAGTACACGCTAGCTTGGGGCCATCGAAATTTAGTTGGTTCAAAGGACAGCGGGAAAATCACTGATTGATCGACCACCAGATATTTCTTTTGGCAAACTAATATGTTACGATTCCTTTAAATGATTGTAGTTTATATTTGTGTTTAATTTATGTATCTATTTATGTCCATATATGCTATTTATATATGCATATCGTTCGAATATATTTATTAATATGTGTCTATCCTGATGGGGTTTTGTATATGATTAATAAAACAATTTGTTCGATTTTAGTGTCATTAAACGTCTTTTTCCCTGTTGCATTTTATTTATTCCGCAAAAAAAAAAATGTTGTCAATAAATTATTATATTTTAAGCGACCTCGACGACCTTTTATTAGTTGAATTCTCTTATCGTCGCCGCCGAAATCCTCGTCGGCTAGGCTCGGCTAGGCTCGACTAACGTAGCGCGCGGGGTTCGAGGTTCGAATCCCCCGACCGCGCGCGACACACCGGTCGCTTTTTTCACCTCGCGCAAAAATACGTCAAAACAAAAAGGCACTAACGCAAAAACTACCCCTAGCGGGGCGAAATTGCCAAAAAGGCACTAACGCGAAAACTACCCCCTACCCCCCATTCAGGGTGATATCTGGCGATCGAAACCTGAGCTCTTAATGGGCGGCGACATCTCTCGTAGAATGGTCAAACTAATTTTTTTTTTTTCGGTTGCTTGGGAATCTGTAAATTTGCAATCACAAAATCTCCCCCGGGGGACGGGGGATGGTCAAGTCACGAATAATTACTACTTATGGGGATTGAGTGCATAAATTTAAAACAATATAATGCCCTTATATTTCAAATGGCACATCACCAGAAATAGTTCTACTTTCAAACAGATTTGGCCCTGGTCTGTCGGTTAAGGCGTCTGACTAGAAATCAGATTCTCCATGGCAGCGTAGGTTCGAAACCTACCTGCTGCAAACGACCATTGTTTTGCTTGAAATATAATTTTTGTAATTAGCAGCTCAGCCAAGAAAATTTTGTCAATTATGGGGATTGAGTGCATAAATTTATAACAATGTAATGCCCTTATATTTCAAAAGACACATCACCAGAAATAGTTCTACTTTCAAGCAGATTTAGCCCTGGTCTGTCGGTTAAGGCGTCTGACTAGAAATCAGATTCTCTATGGCAGCGTAAGTTCGAAAACTACCTACTGCAAACGGCCATTGTTTTGCTTGAAATATATATTTTTTAATTAACAGCTCAGCCCAGAAATTTTTCTCAAATATGGGGATTGACTACATAAATTTAAAAAAATATAATGGCCTTATATTTCAACGCATGGCACATCACCAGAAATAGTTCTACTTTCAAACAGATTTAGCCCTAGTCTGTCGGTTAAGGCGTCTGACTAGAAATCAGATTCTCTATGGCAGCGTAGGTTCGAAACCTACCTGCTGCAAACGACCATTGTTTTGCTTGAAATATAATTTTCGTAAATAACAGCTTATCCCAGAAAATTTTTTCAATTATGGGGATTGAGTTCATAAAATTAAAATAATATAATGCCCTTATATTTCAAATGGCACATCACCAGAAATAGTTCGACTTTCAAACAGATTTAGCTTTGGTCTGTCGGTTAAGGCGTCTGACTAGAAATCAGATTCTCTATCAGCATAGGTTCGAAACCAACCTACTGCAAACGACCATTGTTTTGCTTGAAATATAATTTTCGTAAATAAGAGCTTATCCCAGAAAATTTTGTCAATTATGGGGATTGAGTTCATAAATTTAAAATAATATAATGCCCTTATATTTCAAAAAGCACATCACCAGAAATAGTTCTACTTTCAAACAGATTTAGCCCTGGTCTGTCGGTTAAGGCGTCTGACTAGAAACCAGATTCTCTATGGCAGCGTAGTTTCGAAACCTACCAGCTGCAAACGACCATTGTTTTGCTTGAAATATAATTTTCGTAAATAGCAGCTTAGCCCAGAAAATTTTGTCCATTATGGGGATTGAGTTCATAAATTTAAAATAATATAATGCCCTTATATTTCAAATGGCACATCACCAGAAATAGTTCTACTTTCAAACAGATTTAGCCCTGGTCTGTCGGTTAAGGCGTCTGACTAGAAATCAGATTCTCTATGGCAGCGTAGGTTCGAAACCTACCTGCTGCAAACGACCATTGTTTTGCTTGAAATATAATTTTTGTAATTAGCAGCTCAGCCAAGAAAATTTTGTCAATTATGGGAATTGAGTGCATAAATTTATAACAACGTAATGCCCTTATATTTCAAATGACACATCACCAGAAATAGTTCTACTTTCAAACAGATTTAGCCCTGGTCTGTCGCTTAAGGCGTCTGACTAGAAATCAGATTCTCCATGGCAGCGTAGGTTCGAAACCTACCTGCTGCAAACGAACATTGTTTTGCTTGAAATATAATTTTCGTAAATAACAGCTTATCCCAGAAAATTTTTTCAATTATGGGGATTGAGTTCATAAAATTAAAATAATATAATGCCCTTATATTTCAAATGGCACATCACCAGAAATAGTTCGACTTTCAAACAGCTTTAGCTTTGGTCTGTCGGTTAAGGCGTCTGACTAGAAATCAGATTCTCTATCAGCATAGGTTCGAAACCAACCTACTGCAAACGACCATTGTTTTGCTTGAAATATAATTTTCGTAAATAAGAGCTTATCCCAGAAAATTTTGTCAATTATGGGGATTGAGTTCATAAATTTAAAATAATATAATGCCCTTATATTTCAAATGGCACATCACCAGAAATAGTTCTACTTTCAAACAGATTTAGCCCTGGTCTGTCGGTTAAGGCATCTGACTAGAAACCAGATTCTCTATGGCAGCGTAGTTTCGAAACCTACCTGCTGCAAACGACAATTGTTTTGCTTAAAATACATATTTTTTAATTAACAGCCCAGCTCAGAAATTTTTCTCAAATATGGAGTTGAGTGCATAAATTTATAACAATATAATGCCCTTATATTTCAAATGGCACATCACCAGAAATAGTTCTACTTTCAAACAGATTTAGCCCTGGTCTGTCGCTTAAGGCCTCTGACTAGAAATCAGATTCTCCATGGCAGCGTAGGTTCGAAACCTACCTGCTGCAAACGACCATTGTTTTGCTTGAAATATAATTTTTGTAATCAGCAGCTCAGCCAAGAAAATTTTGTCAATTATGGGGATTGAGTGCATAAATTTATAAAAATATAATACCCTTATATTTCAAATGGCACATCACCAGAAATAGTTCGACTTTCAAACAGATTTAGCCTTGGTCTGTCGGTTAAGGCGTCTGTCCTAAAATCAGATTCTCCATGGCAGCGTAGATTCGAAACCTACTTACTGCAAACAGTCATTGTTTTGCTTGAAATATATAATTTTTAATTAACAGCTCAGCCCAGAAATTTTTCTCAAATATGGGGATTGAGTACATAAATTTATAAAAATATAATGGACATATATTTCAAATGACACATCACCAGAAATAGTTCTACTTTCAAACAGATTTAGCCCTGGTCTGTCGGTTATGGCTTCTGACTAGAAATCAGATTCTCTATGGCAGCGTAGGTTCGAAACCTACCTGCTGCAAACGACCATTGTTTTGCTTGAAATATAATTTTCGTAAATAACAGCTTATACCAGAAAATTTTGTCAATTATGGGGATTGAGTTCATAAAGTTAAAATAATTTAATGCCCTTATATTTGAAATGGCACATCACCAGAAATAGTTCTACTTTCAAACAGATTTAGCTATGGTCTGTCGGTTAAGGCGTCTGACTAGAAATGAAATCAGATTCTCTATGGCAGCGTAAGTTCGAAACCTACCTACTGCAAACGGCCTTTGTTTTGCTTAAAATATATATTTTTTAATTAACAG